CTGCAAGGAGGATCAATCCTTCCTTTCCCCACTCTCCTGTCAGAGTTGAAGAAGCTTCTGGGATGAGAAGCAAAATGTCTTCAAAAGACATTTATCTGAGAATACAGACAAACCTCCAAGTGGTCTCAATGACCCTCTAAAAGGATGCAAATGACCAGCGGTCTGCAAGGAGGATCAATCCTTCCCTTCCCCTCCATCCAGTCAGAGCTGAAGAAGCTTCTGGGATGAGAAGCCAAACGGTGACTCCTTCTCCATGCAGGTAAGTGAGGGGATTGTACAAAGATTTCCCAAAGGTTTGGTGTTTCAGGCTTGGTGCCTTCCAGTTACGGTGGAGAGGCTGAACATCTTTATTCTACCTTCAGATTTGTTGCACACCAATTTTCCAAAACACCAAAAGGGCAAGACAAGAGAAGCAATGGATGGAAACTAACCAAGGTGAGACGCCAACTAGAACTAAGGAGAAATTTCCTAACGGTGGAACAGCTGGCCACCAGAAGTTGGGGTTGGTCCAGAAGGAGATGTTCTCGGGGATCATTTTTGGAGCGGGAGTGGGCAAATGACAGATAGGGTAGTTGCTAGTTTGGGATGGGTCAGGGGTAGCCAAACTCCTCCATGGATTGCATAATCTGGGTGGTCGGCAACCTTAAAGAAGCCATTTAGGCCCGTTTCCCACAGAAAAAAAAAACACCGGGAGCCCCAAAACCTTCCTGTGCCTGACTATATCCTGAACGGCTACAAAACTAGCATATAAAGTTGAATTAAAGATTCTGTTTTTGTCTGAAACTTTTCTTTTCTTGGATTTATCCATGGTTAGCCTAGCGGTGTGTGTGTTGTGTTGAAAAGCTCAATAAATCACTTGCCGGCAGGTGTTGCACATTGGCGGTTGCGATGCATATTTTGAGAGATAGAGAACCATAGCAGAGGAGTGCAAGAGCCACATGTGACTCCGGAACTGCGGGTTGCCGACTGCTGGCATAATCCACCACCACCCCTGCGCCCCCTTTCCAAGGGATGCCCCTCGCATTACCTTTACTTTGATGTCTGTATCTTCTATGGGTCTGTAGTGTGCGTCAGTTCTGCGTTTGTTGAAGTAATCCAGGGCATGTTCCTTCAAGAACACGGTTTCGTAGTAGCCTCTGGTGTCCTGCATCCTTTCGCGATAACCCTCCGCTCTTTCTTCCAGTTCTTCTGAATTCGATTCTTCTGGGGGCATTAGCATATTTTCCGGCTTTGCTGGCCCTTCCGAATTCAGTTCTGGCTCCTCCTTCTCCTTTTTTTCCGGTTCTTGTGAAGTGGAGTTGTCTTTAGGGCAGCAACTCTTCTCTGGGGGCACTCCTGGCCCACAACATTCCTTCTTTTCCTCCGCCACCGAGGTCCCCCTGACCAACACCAAGGCCAGGAGCAGCTGAAGAGCCACCAGGGAACTTCTCATGATGGCCAGGAGATGCAACGAAAGTCGGAGCTGTAGGCTGGAGGAGGGAAGGGCATTGAAATATAACCTCTGAGGAAGCCTCACCCTCCAGAAAGCTCCACCTCGAATCCAGAAGGCCGTCCTCCTGAGTTTGGGTCTCTTCGGCTGAGCTTGAGCCAACGAGAAGAATTGGTGAAGCAGAACAACTTTGCCCAGATGTTCTCCTCTTCCCTTTCTCCTCTTCTTTAAACATTTCTTCTGACTCCCTGGTGGAGGTTGAGTTTGACTTTCAAAGTGAGGTTAAGCCTTTCTGAAATTATATATCATTCTGCTTAGGCAATCGATGTCCTCCAGTATCTGGGAAGAATTTCAGGCAAATTTATTTTTTTGCAAGTGAAGACAGGGGTATTCAGAAGCACACACACATACACACACACACACACACACACACAGATATGATTGATGTTTAGCTTGGAAGCTCACCTTTCGCAGCCTGGTTTAGGTATGATCTATAGCACGATCTCACTATCACGGTTAGGTGGCATTGCAAGGTTGAATGAAAACTTGTCAAGATTTCTTTATAGAATGGTGGAGTCCTTGGTATTTTCTAAGCTTGGTTGTTTTATTGCAGACATTTCGTTACCAAACTAGGTAATAGCATCAATGCACTGATTTTATTACCTAGTTTGGTAACGAAACGTCTGCAAGAAAACAATCAAGCTCAGAGAACACCAAGGACCCTGCAGCTCTTCTCCTCCTCTTCGCAAACCTTCTAGCACTGATGAAGTTATCTAGTTGTGTCATGAAATGTCTGCAAGAAAACCACCAAGCTCAGAGAGCACCAAGTCCCCAGATTCTTTTTCTTCCTCTTCCTCTTCCTCCTCTCCATAAATCCCATTTCCTTCTAGCATTGATGATGCAAGCGAATAACCAAGCTCAGAGAGCACCAAGGCCCCAGAGGATTCTTCTTCTTCTTCTTCTTCTTCTTCTTCTTCTTCTTCTTCTTCTTCTTCTTCTTCTTCTTCTTCTTCTTCTTCTTCTTCTTCTTCTTCTTCTTCTTCTTCTTCTTCTTCTTCTTCTTCTTCTTCTTCTTCTTCTTCTTCTTCTTCTTCTTCTTCTTCTTCTTCTTCTTCTTCTTCTTCTTCTTCTTCTTCTTCTTCT